CCTTTCCTCCGAGACGGAATAGACTTAGTTTGTGCATTGAGGATCGCTCCCTTGAGGAGCAACCACTATTCTTGAACTACCTTCTTCCTGGGGTCATGGTCCCTTAGGGCCTCACTGACAAGCCTCCTGAGCTTGTCAAAGTCAGCTTTCCTGAAGTCAAGGACTTCCGTGTTGCTGACTGACTTGCCAGCTTTTCGGCGGATGGTGAAGGTGATCAACTCGTGGTCGCTGTCACCCAGCTTGGGTGACTGTAGGCCAGAAGGAGCACCAAGAAACACTTCCGGGGGGTAGAGCACCCCCAAGGTTGGCTGGGTCTGTGTACCCCAGGCTGCACAGGGCCCTAGCAGAGACTAGTGCCCAGGTGGTGACAGCATTACCCCAGGCTTGCGGGAGGTCTCCAGGAAGGAGGACGGCCAGACGTAGGTGCCGCAGGGGAGACTCCCAAAGCATGGTTTTGGGTCAGGCACAGTGAGGTGGGTGGCTCAGCATAGTAGTACCTCCTACCATCCCACCACACTCCCCACTAAGATTCAAGCCTATGGCACTAGATCAAAGTTCCTGGAAAGTGAGAGGGGCCTTTCTGAGGTCACATCCCCTTCTCACCCCTCCACTCCCTACCTTTTGCTCTGCGTTGCTTCCATGAGTAATAAGTGGACAAGAGGAGGAAAATGCACACGATAGCCAGGATCACACTCAGTGCCACAACCCATGGAGAGGTCCTCAGGAACAAGGAACCTGCCAGGGAAAGATGAACTGATTTAGAAACACAGACAGGATCATGATGCCACCAGCAGAGCAGAGCAGAGGAAGGGAACTGATGATACCCTGGGATTGTTGGAAGCATCCGATAGGGATACTGTTGGAATTTCAAGGCAAGGTGTAGCTCTTCCCATGGGACCAAATGGACATGAAGATGGTCAGGTCCTGACTACAATGCAGATAACACAACAGGTAGGACTATTATAACCATAGAAATGCAGAGCTGGGAGGGACCTCAGGAGATCACATCTAGTCCAGCCCCAGGCTCAAGACACAATCTTCCGTGTCTAAACCATCCCACCCAAGGGTTTTTCTAACCTGCTCTGAAACATTTTCAAGAAAGGAGGTTTCTTCCAATATGAAGCCACCCTCCTAGTGAGAAAGTTTTTCCTACTATCCAACTTAATTTCCATCGTTGCAATTTAAGACCATTGCTCCTTCCCTTGTCCCTTGTGGCCACAGAGAATAGTCTGTCACTATCTTCTGTCTAAGTACTGTTCAAGTATCTGAAGACTGTTAGCAAATCTCCCCTTAGTCTTCTTTTCAGACTAAATCATCCCACTTCTTTCAGTCTCTCCTTGTAAATTGTGTGTATCAGATCTCTCATCATTTCTGTTGCTCTCTGTTGGTCTAATTTGTCCCTGTCTTTCTTGAAATGTGGTGCCCAAACCTGGACAAAGTACTCCAAGTAAGGACTCACTAGTGTTGAAGGGAGTAGAGGATCACTTCCTTTGACTTAGAAGTGGCATTCTGCTAATGCAGCCCAGTATGTTGCTGGCTTTTTTGGCACAAGAGCACCCTGTTGGCTTATATTCAGCTTATGGTCCACTATAGCCCCATGTCCTTCTCTGCAGTACTGCAGCCTAGTCAGTCATTCCCCAGCTTGTGCTTGTGCAATTCCTCCCTCCTCAGTGCAAGGCTTTCTGTTCTGCTGAGGCCAAGCACCCTGGCTGAGCTGCTGGGCACTGACCTGCAATGTTAATCCGTGCAGATTTCTCTTGGTCAAGGAGAGGGTGGTGGACAGAACAGGACACATTTTGGTTGGTGGCTTCTGTTATCACGATGGCACTGTGCGCTGCAAACAGCCCATCAGCCTGCTGGTGTATTTTGTCCTGTGTTGATGGTAGCTGCTTCCCACCAACATCCTTCCACAGCATCTTGGGCTCTGGGTACCACCCGGTCGATTCACAAACCACCTGGATCCCTCCATCTTGATAGCCACTGACGGAGAGGTGAGGAGCAGAGCCCAAGCCTGGAGGGGGATGGGATAAGCATGTATGAGCTCTGCACGAATGCATTTGGGAGGCCCAGTCTCCACTAGGTACCAGCTCAGGTAGTAATGGGAGAGGCGTGACCGCAGCATGGTGACTGCGGCAAGTCCTCGCTCGTAGTGCTGAGGGAGCTAGAGATAGGCCTGAGATCTCCAGGTGTGGGTGTGGGTAGGCTGGACCACCGCTCCCATTCACTGTTTCTCTTGCTCTAGCTCCTTGGTTCCCTACCTGTGGGAAGTGAGGCACCTGAGGAAGCCAGAGCGCAGCAAGGAAGGAGAGATGCCATGAGGGTCTGGAGCTGGAGTCAGAGAGAGGCCAAGGTACCCATGTTCCCCTGTGCATCCTGCCACCCTGCCTGCCTCCGAGGATGCTAACGCACAAGGTCTCAAGGCTGGGTCTCCTCCCATCCACTGCAGTTTTACACTGGGAGTGTAAGGTCTGAATCAGGCCCCTTGTTCCCACAGTATCTGCGCAATGGGTCTGCACTGGTGAGTACTGGGGCCCCCCAGCTCTGTCTCCCTTCTTTTTTGTCCCTCGTACACTCCTCTCCCCTGGTCCCATCTTACTCCTCCCCACCCCAGTTTTCTCCCAGCCCTTTTGCTCCAGGGACTCCTGACCTGGCCCTGCACTGCTCATGCATTTGTTACAGTAGGGTGCTCTGTGGGTGCATGCATTCATTGCTGGGTAGATCACACCTGGATCGTTCTGGGGCTCATGCAATGAGTGGAACCTGGGTGGTTCAGCGGTTCAACAGGCCACAAAGCAGGGCTGGGGCACACTAAGTGGTACAGCCTTCTCGCACGGGAACGTTTGTGACCAGGGTTCACTTGTGGCTGACGCTCCTGAAGAGAAGGGTCAGGACTTGCCCATGTTACTAACCGGCCACCTCCAACTCCAGCACAGCTTCTCCATCAAATGCAGGTGACCGAAAGAAGCAGACAAACTGCCCCTCATCAGAAGGGGTGATGTTGCGTATCCTCAAGGAGACCTTCCCCTCTGTGATATTGCCCTTCAGCAGCTCCGTCCCGCCCCGATACTGTGCAATCTGCTTGTCTGGCTGATCTCTTCCGCCCCGGTAGAGATGGACGACTTCAGAGTACCTGAACTGGAACCAGAGCGCCTCCATCTCTGCTGCACTGACACTGGGGGAGAGGTGACAGGGGAGCAGCGCATCCGTGCCCACCAGGGCTGTGACAGGGTGATTGGGGCCGTTCACGCGGAAGGTCACTGCCAAAAGAAGCAGGATACAAAGAAATCTGGAGGCAAAAGAAGGACTGGGACCGTTTTAGTAAAACAATTTAGTATCTCAGTAGAGAATCGC